TCGTTGGCTATTATACCTCCCCAATGCACCAATAAGGACTGTTTATTCCGGTAAGCCTTCTCTTCACATACATTGACCTTCGTCTAACTAGTCATGTACACATCAGTGATTCTGCCTACCTTACCCTGACTTTCCACCATTAAAACCTCACTCTCTTTTCCTCTACCTATCATCTCTGTCTTTGATTTCCCTCACTCTTTCATTTTCAGGAGGAGCATGAATTATGAATTTCCAAAATGGGATGCATTTTCATGGTGGTTGGTGCAGGTTTCTAGGTCTCTAATACTGTAGATCCCTGAAAAGTATAACTAAAATTTGAATTTACATAAATTGTCAAGTATGATTTTTTTTATAGTTTAAAAATAATCAGACTAGATTTTTCTAGCACATTAAGGTTTAACATAGCTCACATTTTAGTCTTCTTTGATTCTTCTGAGATTTGAGTATGATGGATAAAGTGCTTGTTGCTTTCATACCCATTTAGAGATAAGGCACTAAGTTTGGGACAAAACTTAATGGAGAGTACAGACTGACATCCAGTTTCTATAAACCTAAGATAAATTAGTCTTGGAGGGTTACTTTAGAGGTTTCATTGTTGTAGCTGTTTTTTTTTAAGTAAACATCCTCAAATATGAAATTATGAAAGGGTCTTCAACCACCACAAATGATCTTTCACAATTAGAAAGTCTTGAAAATGTTACAGGGCCATACCCTGTAGTGTCAGATGCCCAGCAGTGGATGGAAACAGGGAGCGTGCTCACCAGCATGGAGTTGCTGTGGAGGGACACTCAAGTCTTTCTACCCCTTTGACATCAACCCTTTTGTTATTGCACTCAATGACTGTTAGTAAACCCTCAGAGACAGTAAACTTCACTTAAGATATCTAAGAGCCAGGCTAAGGATTGGATGGTAGCTGGTTTCTGTCTGTAGAATAATAAAATAATAATAATAATAATAATAATAATAATAATGGAACAAGAGTTTTCTGTCTGTAGAAGTATTAAAAAATAATACTGGAACAAGAGGCTGAAAATCAAGATCTAGGCATTAGAGTCAGACAGATCCCAGTACCTGATAAAAGACCCAGGGGCTCCATGAGGATTTCTCCTTCTGCTGTTGTCACAATTAATACATTTTTGCAGTGTGAATAAGAGAATTGGTATAGTTTAGACACCTGCCATGAGAGCAAACTACAAATCTATCTGCTCAACCCCTTCTTCCTTCCTCAACCTCATCTCTCTTCATCCTGCCTGCTCTCCTGCTTTCCCACGTAATGATGGAAATATGTGCTACCTTGTATGGTCGAACAAGTCCTTTTCCCTACGTGCTGGCATGGATCCTTCAGATTAGCTAAGGCCAAAGCTATTATATTTCTACTTCTCCTGAAGGACACTGTAAATTGTTTGAGCTTCTTCTACTTAGACTACAATAAACAAAGTTGAAAGACCTGTTTTTCCTTCACTGCACATTTTGGATTGCATTTGTGAAACTATGGCAATCATACTGTGTGTGTGTGTGTGTGTGTGTGCATGTGTACATGTGTGCATGTGTGTGTGCATGTGCATATGTGTGTGCATGTGTGCATGTTTGTGTGTGTGTTAACAGATTCATATTTAAGCTGAACTGATGAAAAGTCCAGGAAAAAATAAACTCCCTCAATAGTTAGAAATTTTTTCTAAAAGACATATCAGTAGGGATGTAAAATACAAAATATTCAGACTATATTTTTATTAAGAAACACTTGTGAGAATCTGATAGATTTAAAAGAAAAGAAAATATCAACAAATATATATTTATATTCACATTTTATAGGTACATCCTTGGGCTGAGGAGGTAGATCAGAGGTTTAAGTGCCTGCCTGGCAAGCACAAGGTCCTGAGTTTGATCCCTGGTACCAAAAAATAAATAAATAAATAAATAAATAAAGATACATTGTCTAGCATAAATAGAAATACTTAATTGTTAATATTTTTAAATTATACACAATAAAGGTTTACCTGCCTAATAACCACAGTGCTTACAGTCTACAAGATTTATATAACCAACAGAACATTTAAAATTCTTCAAAATAATTCAGGGACTAAATCAACTGTGTCTTTAAAACTTTCCTTTGCTATATACTTTCATATTTGGGTTATCCATTTCTTTTTTTATAACTGCAACTACACAGTAAGTCTTCCTGATCAAATTAGGTCTCCATCAGAACAAGCTGTTTTGATTCTGATAGTTCTCATTACATTCTTTCACCTAAAAAGAGAACGCCTCTGTTTTTCTCTTAATGGAATATGAGGTTGACTCACAATGCCTGAAAAAAAAGAGCTTGGTTATATTGAATGTCTTGTTTTAAATGTCCTATCTGAAGCATATTAATAACTGGTATTAGCATTTATAAGAATTCTTACAAGTCAAAAAGATGAGCCTATACTCCCGGACTCCTCCGAGCACAGAGCATGCCCAGCCTTCCCCATACCCAGGATGCAGCCTTCTGGCTGTGGTATTAGCTCAAGGTGAATGACGCTCAATGAGTAAAGAAAGAAATCAGAACCTTAATGCATGCTGTTCTAATGCAACTGTCTGAAAAACAAAGAGATTGCTGCCTGTGAAATACTCACTGCAAAAAGTTACAAAAGCATCTTTCAGAGAAATAACATGCTCGAGAAATTTCAGTCCGGAGAGTACTAGCATCACATCAGTTTCTCTGAGTCTCTTTGAATCTGCAGTTGAGCCAAATATCTCTGGTGCCAAGGTTTCTCGCAAGATTTCCTGTCCTTCCTGTTTCTATATGAGCCAGAAATACCATGAGAACGGCCTTTCTTGAGGTATTTTTGCACTTCTGCTCTGGGATGAAGATAATCCCATATTGGGGAAAATTTTTTAAATTGTGCCAACATTTTCAATTTTCAACCATCAAATGAAATAAATTCTCCCTCAGGAATGAAAATTCAAAATTGCGTTTGCTTGGCCCTAATTTATCTCCTGTAAAAAGTATTCACGTTTGATACTCCAATATTTTCTTTAACTTCTCTAAAATACTTTTTATCAGGAAATATGTAAAACACGATACAGTGGAAGTTTATATTCTTAGATCTTCAAAACATCATTACTGAAGAAAGGTACAATGAAGAGTTGAGTTCTTAATATATTAGTGCATATGCTATATTATTATATATTTGTTTTCTTTGTTCTTAACGCCTTTGTTCCAAGAGTCAGGATATCCTGATGCTAAGTGCTACTGCAAAATAACTGAACAAAAATAAAAATAGTCAAACCCTTAGGAACTCTTCAGTTGTTCTGTCAAGGAAGTTTGTCACTGAGGAGGGAACTGAAGACGTTATTCAGGAAATATGGTAATAGAGTCCAGGGGCCTATGTGTCCTTATTAAACAAAATCATCTCAATTCTGAAGAGCCTTGATATCTCCAGTCTAAAGAAAAGGAAAGGTGAAATAAGAATGGAAAGGCTGTCAGGGTGGAGGGTGCAGTGACCAGGTGCACAAATCTTTCCATCTCTTAAGAAAGGAAAATAAAGAAAAGCCTACCTTTCAGATAAAGCAGCCAACTAACTATTCCCTCACTTGGTTTATGAATATCTGATTGTTATTAAAAAAAGAGCTGTTTGATCAATGGTTTAATAATGAAATTCACAAAAAAAGTCTTCAATGTCTTTCATTGTTCTTTCATACTTGTGAAGGCTCTTAGCCTCTTTTCACCTATTAGAAACAAAAATAGGTTTCCTGGTTTACTTTTGCTTTTTTTATTTAATTTTATTTTGAAGAGTAAAAACAGAAGCAAAAATAGAAATAAATACAGAAAGAGGATAGCATACAACAATGCATATGTTACAGATTTTCAAAACAGGAATAACTAATTAACAATGGTTGTTATATTATCTACTTTTATCATCAAATCTGTTGCTCAGATTAGCAGATATAATTATGCAAGATTGGGGAAATAGTTGAATGTTGGCACTTGCTTTCAATAAATCTTAATTTTTTCCTCATCTTTTTTTGATTTAACTTATTTTAAAGAGAGTATAATAATTAATAATTAGAAAAGGTACACATTTAGAAGACAAAGATGAGAGGCATTCAATCATGAGTCCTGGTATACTTTTCCATCCAGAAAGATAAAACATAAATCACTTAATTCAGTGTGGAAAACCACACTTATCAACTATGGATTTAGAGGAACAATAATAACAATAAAATTGCAGTAGCCTTCGCTGCTTTCAACTTTCAAGCAGCGAGGTGAGGGCCATAAAAACAGAATTTACTCTACAATGGTCTCTCTCCACTCCCCCAAGACTCTACTGTGCTCCCCTAAAGAAACATCAAATGATTGTGTGATCAACCGGCCCTGAAAGGAATGCAGAGTCAGAGCAACAGATTGTACATCAGCAAAATAAAGTGCCAAGCAAAACAGAGCTCTCTGCGAGGCAGAGCTGTTAGGACGACAGGAAGCAGGGGCTGCGGCAACGTCCTCCAAGAAATCAGGGGCCCCTCGTGTGAGCGTTCAAATCCGAATTGTTCCTGCAGACCCAATTTGCTGGCAAACTTGCCAAGCACAATGCCACCCGCTTTCATTTACATCCACAGCCTTTCACACAAGCAACAGGGGGCTTCTCTTGCCGCCGTGTCAATTCTGACGTCCAGGGTGAGCGCCTTCATCTCTGAGCCTCAGGGAACAAGAGGCCTGGTCACAGTTGTCCTCAATTCAGCTGCTCTCAGGTGGAGACAGAGCAGTCGGTGGCCCAGATATTGAGCCCACACTGCTCTCTCTGCGGAAAGTGAGTCCTTCTACACTTTCTCTCCTTTATTTTCCTTGCTAGGTATCCCCCTCTGCCCTGTGACGTCCTTTAAAACAATTACTTTGAAAATGGTTTTTAACCGCTCCTAGCCACGTGCCCACACTGTACAAGCCCTCTGCACGTGCACAAGGGGACCTTGCTGCCTCCTTAATTCACGTCTTTCGGAGTTAGCTTTGGAATGTGATGCTGTGTTGTTCCCCTTCCAACTGAAGGGCAGTTGAGGTTACCAAGGGATCTGACTGAAAGGCCGGAACTCAGGTTTGCTGAGAACCAAGGGACAGCGAAAGGGGAGGAGGGTGTAGAGAAGGAAACAGAACATTTGAACTGAAATCCTGGGGGTCTCTCCATCCAAGGACACGGCCACTGAGGACTGGTAATGTCCCTGTCATCACATACACACACACACACACACACACACACACACACACACACACACACACACAGAGCCTTCCAGACAGAAGCCGATGCTCAGCTTCTCTGAGAGCTCCTTGGGGTGCGCAGGACCAGAACCCAGGAAACTTCTAGGTCTCCTGCAACAGGAGAGTGACTTCTCACTTGCCGCCTCCTGATAAGTAGCCTCTGGGGACCCTTCTACAACAGCCTGGCAAAGAGGAAGCCCCACTTCCTTGCCCGAAGTCCTTCCTAGCTAAGCACTCTGACAAACTTTGACAAACACCAAAAGCGAATTGAAAACAAATAAACCAGGAGGAAGAAGAGGAAAAGCAAGCGCTGAAACCTCGATGGCTTTTTTTTCCCCCTGCTGCTGTCTTTCCCGCTGTAGCCTGGGATTAATTAAGTGTTGTGAACTCGGTGCCTGAGAGAGAAGGGAAAAGCTGCATTCTCTCTCTAAGGAAGGAGGAGTACAGTAACAGTTTCTCACCAGTGAGAAACCTTGGGAAGCACATCGCTCTCGTCTCCAGTGTTTGTGCAGGGACTGGAGAGCCAGGGGGCTGTGCCAGACTGGAGGAGGCTTGTCTTTCCAAGGCTGGAGAGGATTTCACGGGGGTTCGCCGACCCCTGCCTGGGAAGAATTTCCCCTCTGGTAGCAGCAGCAGCAGTCGCAGCCACAGCAGCAGCAGCAACAGCAGCCGCGGCGGCAGCAGCCCTACCTCCTCTGCTGGGGAACAGGGCAGAATGCCTGTGCTAGAGCGGTATTTCCACTCGGCAGAGCTAGGCAGGAGGTGGCCGGCCCCAGAAGGTGTGCTGCCCTCCTCCCTGGGCAGCCGGCCGGGGTACCAGCAGGGGCCGCTGCCCTGGGACTTGCCAGAGATGATCAGGATGGTAAAGCTGGTTTGGAAATCCAAAAGTGAACTGCAGGCAACCAAACAGAGAGGCATTCTGGAAAATGAAGATGCTCTCCACAGCTTTTCAGGTAAATTGACTGTGGGGTGCAGAAGGTAGCAGGGGCCACTGCTGATTACTCTCTTTCTTAAAGAGCCCAAGCCATAGAGACGGGAAGAGGAAGGAAGACAAAGTGACTAATATAGGGTCCAAGGGCTGCTCTGCTCTGCTCTAGAGCTGAGTGCTCTGTTGTAGAAATGCATCTTAAAATTAAGAGTGCTACGGTAGGAGGAACATCAGAATGGAAATTGAGAAACCTGGGTTCTGGGCGCGGTGTGCCACAGGCTTGTCCTATGGGCAGAAGTCAAATCAAATTTCCTGAGTTTCAGTCCAGCAAAAAACAGAATAGAACTGGATGCTCTTTACTGTCCATCCTGCTCTGAGAGAAGGCTGCTGTCTGAGTTGCTTTTGTAACTTTTCATATAAAGTAAAATTGATCTCTGACTTTAAATTTTGCCTATGCAGCTACAGTATGTATAATGTTCCCTAGAGTGAGTTTGGCTTGTGTGGTTTTTATATCCCAGACAAACTGAACGTTCTTGCCTCATTTGTTCCTTTAACAAGTGACAATGACAAGAGCACCCCTTTGATAGGAGGAAAACTCAACTTGTTGAAAAATCAACAAATGTGGAAAGGATGATTCATGGAGGTTTTGTCATGTCATAAGAATGTGCTGTGTTGGGGACAGTCATGAGGGAGCTTCACTATATTTCAAACAGTGGACATGAGAACACAAGGACGCCTATGGTCCCTGTGAAAGACCCCAAATGCCATCACTGAGTGGGGGTTACTCTCCTCCTTTGGGGACTATATTGGCAAATGTTTGCAAAGTAGCAGATTCACTTAAGAAGAAAGAATACAAGTATGTGTTTATGCATTTGAAGTTTGGCTGGCTTTCTGCAGTGGTATTCTGATACGCCATTGGGGGAGAAATGGGGTGGGCAGAAAAAACAGGCCAAAAATTACCTTTCTCTTTCAAAGACTAGAAAATAAAAACTTGCCTCATTTTGTTTTCAGTAAGTTCTGACATGAACTTTTGTAAAGCTGTCTAACAATCTATGCATATTATTACAAAGCAATGATCTGGGAAAAGAAAAAATTTGGAAGAAAAAAAAAAAAACCAATGTTGGTCTCTAGTAAACAATGAGCATTTGAGTACTCAGAAAAGAGAAGGAAACCAATCAGCCTGAGGTTTATGTGGCATTTGGGAGAGGGAAGCCCAGAGAAATGGATCTTAGTCAGAAGACATGAGGTAATGTAAAAAACATCCCATATTTCATGTGAATAGAGTAAAAAAAAAAAAATGGAAAAAAAAACACCTGGGCAGAAATGTATTTTTACTGTTACCACCCTTTGTTTGTTTTATTAAATTAAATGATTAAAATTCATATTTCAAATGGCACCTTTTGATAATACTACCTAAATCAATAGATGTTAGCATATCTGTTTGGATAAGTGGCACTATAATCATCATTAGTGGACATCTAACTCTTGAAGAAGCAACTGACAGAAGAAAACAAAACAGGGCTTCTATAACTCTCCTATAGCCCAACAAGCTACATTTCTTTAAATGTTACAAGGCAGAACTAGTTGAATCTCAGCACGCCTCCCTCCCACTGCCTTCCTTGCCATGGCGGGGGGGGGGGGGGGCTCAGCAGCCACTCCGAAAGAAAGCCTCACCAGCCTACTATCCCCATCATCCTGCCTGCAAGGAAGAAAGCTGTATTTCAACACTGCCCCAAAGGATGTCCGCTTCCCTCCTTTCCTGCTTCCATTCTAAAGAGCGGAGGGGCTCCCCTTCTGGAGTGGGCCTAAGACCTCCCACCCACCTGTGCAGCACAGGACCCATGCTGAGCCCCAGAGCAGAGGTGCCTCACTTTGCAAACTGTCTCCTGCTTCTTCCATGCTCAGCCCATCCCTGATGCTGTTTCCTCCCAGCATTGTGCACTCATCAACTGCACCATCGTCACAGGAGCACGATGGCAGGGCCCTCATGGACACGTGGAGAATATTTCCAGGATAGCTGGAATTTTTCCCAATTTAGGAAACGATGGTTTAAGCTGTTTTCAGTAATGTGTGGGGGTTTATGATAGAAAATGACTTTGATATTCTTATGCAACTCACAGAGCATTAATGGCGCCCTGCCTCTAAGCCATGCCCCATGCTTGGAGGTCTTTCTTTGCCTCAGCCAACTGAAACTGTTCTCTTCAGTCTCCAAAATCCAGTTCAAGCATCCCAGACTGCACCTTACCAACGGATGCTCATTCGCTCCTCTTTGTTCTCTTTACCAATAGACATTTGCTATGTTGCTTGCATAGCACATAACGTTCCCAGGGCAGTAACTGAAAACAGGAAAATTAAACATTATCAATACTGTATATATTTGCTTTTGATACTAAATGAATAGGTGTAAAAACTATGAAATTGCAGAAATTCTGAATAGAACCAATAGCCACTTCAAAGGATTCTAGACACATGTGTCATTGGTTTTTAGTAAGTTTAATATAAACTGAAAAGTGCTAGCTTTCACTTTCCTTCTTGAAAGGCACTGATATTTCAATCTGTCCTTTGTAGACAACACTGGAAATTTGTTCTTCACAAAAGAAATAGAAAAGTGTTTTGAGATTTTTATTTAGTTCACAAAGGGAGAGAGTAAAAGAATTTATGGGAAAGTAAATAGACAGATAGGAATTGTAAGTAACAGAGGACAAAGAAGAGCAACGCTATGAGGAAGTGAGGAAGTGCTAGGGAAAAGGTGGCATATGTGGACATTTCTCTCCAACTACAGATCAGCATACCCAGAGGGCACTAGGTGGCCATTTCAAGCAATAGACCAGAGGTAGGAATGGGCGATGGCAGGAGGAAGAGGGATTGGTCACTTTTATGTATTGGAGTGCACGAGGTCCCAGAGTGACCCCCATGCTGGCAGTTGTTGGCATAACTGAAATCAGAATGTCAGCTCAGTTTATTGTGTTGTCCCCTTTTACTTAATTAAATGAATAGATGTTATTCTCCTTTCGAAGCAGAGGGTCATCTAGTTACCTTGTGAAATCTGTGTTTTAGAAAGGAAGGTAATAGTTCACAGAGGTTAAACGACTTGTACAGGATCACACATTGGAAATGTGTCTTAATCTGACCAGGAGCTGCGCTGCCCAAATCTGCTTCACAAAACTCACACAGTCAGGGCATGATCTGGATCATTTAGATATATATTTAGGACAAGACATGGGCCTAAGGGTGAGCTCACTGGTAGTTTGCTTAGCATTGCACAAGGCCCTGGGTTCAGTATTGCCCCCACACACACATATAAGACATGGCTTTATTTATTATAAATTGATGAGATAAACACAAGAAATCATGACGCAAACCTCAGTGAAACCAGAAAAAAATAATATCATGCACAATAAGTCAAAGGACTAGGCCTCCTTTACATTTTTCTATTTATTTGGGGCCACTAGTTTCAGGCTCAAGCTTCAAGCTGGAAGGGTCCAGGAGAAAAAACCCTCATCTGTTCTCCCTGGCAAGTAGGCGTGTCCTGCAGTGATGAGCGGATGCCCTGGAGTGGGGGTGCGGAAAGGGAGGGGGGATGGAGGCACACAGGTGGTTTCTCAGAAGCTGAGTGCAAATATTATCCTAATTGCAATTCTAGTCAGCAGCCGGTTTAAGACTAGACATCCCTAGCAGGACTTGTTCCTAGTTAAATAAATAATTTGATTCTGAAATTCAACCAAATCATTGCAAATGCTACAGCTGTGGAATTGGACTTTCTTTTGGTGTCTCTGGTTTAAATTTTACATTATAGTTTACTTATTTATTAAGCTCCTTCCCATTTCAATAGCCTTGGGTTCCAGAAAAATATAAAAACACATAACTCTCTCCAAAAATAATCACACAGCCCATTTCCCCATAGCCATTGTAACTTGTCCCATTTTAAGGAGAACACAAATATCTGAAATTTACCTTATACCTAGCCCTGACTGTCAAACAATGTCAGACAAGAAAATGTCTGAAAGAATTCTGATTCCAGAACTTTGCCATTCAAATTGACATTTAAGGCGCAATGCTAAAACGTCTCATGTCGGATATGACATAAATTTAATACATTAAAGACTGAACCCTTCAATCATTACAATTGAAAGAGCACTTAGTAGATTCCTAGTGCATACTCTACCAGATAACACATACAGAGATAAATCAAAACTTTAAGGAGAGAACAGTTATGTATATATAATTCAGAGTCCTATCTATGGCTTCAGTGCAAAATCAAGCACTTGTTTGTGTAAACTGCTGTTCGGGGCTGGGCCCAAAAATTGTCAGATCGCGCCTGTCGCCCTTCCACTCAGGAGGCTGAGGCAATAGTACAGCCATGAGCGCAAGGCCAGCTAGGACTGCACAGTGAAAGCCTGTCTCAAGAAAAATCCAACAAAATTTCTCTCTCCACTCACACATTGACTGTAAAACGGGTAAAATTCAAAGCTACTTGTAAAAATTCACATATACTTTCAAATACTTACCTGGGCCTAGTGATTTCATCTAATTCAGAACAATCTGCTTTGAGAAATGAATCAATTAGTCTCAATGAGAGGTAATCTGATATTAATTCATAACATTTTTCTAAAACTACTGCTTGTAGACATTAGGCTTTATTCAATGTGTATCCAAACTGGATAATAGTCTTTGACAATTTAATCCATCTTTTAAATGAGAAGCAAAACTGAGTCAAAACTAGGGCAAAGCAGCTCACCTTGACCCAAAACTTTTCTTTCATTTGATCTGAATGACAGAAACCCAAGATTAAAATGGTTTTATTTCAGCTCCACAATTCTAATTGGTCTAAATCCATAAGAGGCTCCGAGTACCAGGCTGTACTTGCAATGTTGAGATTTAAAAGTTTTAATGTCCTGTATTCTATACTGAACTGTGTGACCCTGGGCAAGTTCCTTCCTCTCCTGGTACCTTTATTTGCCTTCTGTGAAAAGGAAATAGCACTAATGGCACCTTCATGTAAGGCTGCGATGAGGATTGGAAGGG